TTTAAAGTTAAAGCCTGTATAAGACTTGAAATCAATAAAACTGCTTGTACAAGTTTACAATGTGAATGGAATTGATCTAAAAAGCATGTTAGTCCCACAGCATTAGCAAACATAAATTTTAGCTGCCTGAAAAAAAAAAAGTTAACCTTGCATAATCAAGTATCCAAAAATGTTGATGAAAATTGTTATTCTTATAAACAGTATGTTGGTATTTCAAAGTCCAAGTTTAATGAATTGAAAGAAATAGGACTTGATGCTGGTGTTCTAACAAGTATTGATGAAACTAATTTTTTGTATTCTAGTGAAACTGATAGAGCAGAAAAACTGATGAAACGTGTATCCCAGAACCTTTGACATACCTATTTGAAACAAATTTAACAAAATTTTCACAATAAGCTTTAATAGATAAAGACAAACAACTGTTTAAACTTTACAAAAAATGTTATACTCAAAAACCTTTTGAAAAATTATCAGAAATAACTCGTGCTCAACGTTTTTCACAGTGTTGGAAAGAGCATAAATGTGGTTGGATTACTGCCTCCTACTTTTATGAAGCATGTCACTAGTTAAAAAATGATAATAAAAGTTTTATTAACAAAATCCTGCAGTATAAATCTTTTGATGGAACAATAGCTACAAAGTATGGAACTGAAAATGAAGGTAAGGCGAGAGAAAAATATTTTTAAATTATGTCAGAACAACATAAAAATTTCAAAATAACTTTGACAGGATTGCATGTCAATGAAAAATTTCCTGAAATCGGTGTAAGTCCTGATGCATTTGTAGAATGTTATTGTCATAGAAAAGGCCTTGTGGAAGTTAAATGGCCTTACAAATATGTAAATGGTTTTGAATATTCAGAGAATGATAAAAAATTTCCATTGGATTCTAATCGTGTAATAAAAGTAGAACACCCTTAGTACTATCAAATGCAAGGCCAAATGTTAATATGTGAATGTTTCAATAATGTTTTGTTTATTTTTTTTTTGCCTACCAACGGCAAAATGTAAGTATTTGTAACTGGTCTATTTTATTATTCCCATTTTTAAATATAAACTGAAAGATTTAATTATTTTAATGAATGATGTTGTCAGACTTTTTTAATTGGAACTTTATATTTTATTTAAAAAATTTATTGTTTATTACGTTTTATTTTATTGATTATGTATTGATATAGTTTATATAAACACGCTAGTAAATGGTTCTGATGATAAGATCAGTACAATCTTCTTTCAGAAACCTTGTTTGTGTTTATGAAATTAATTTATTTACTACGACAACAAATCTAAACTAAAAAAAACAAAAAAAAAATAACCTAAATTAACAAAAAAGTTTATTTACTAAAATAATTATTTACAATGAAATTATTCTAATTTTAAAACTTTTGCAAGAATATTTTTGTCAATTTCTTACAAAATAATGAAACCTTTTTAATAATACTGCCGTGTTTTAGTTACAGTATGATTGACAGTCTGGGAATTGAGAACAATTGTCTCCACAAAAAAACGACATCTGGTATTCCTCTTCCGAATCACTCAAGCAATTTTATTGTCAATAACAAAAAATTTATCATTTGCCGGTATTGAGTTATGAATGGAGTATTGTTTAATGTTAGATAGGCTTCAGTGTTCAGATAGGCTTACAACTTATGCACAAAAACACCAATACCGTTATCTCTATGAAGATAACGGTATTAGTGGTCTTCTGGTTTTGTGAAACTTTCTTTTTTGTTAGCATTAAATGGCTGAAATAATCAGTTTCTTCCGATTATCTCAAGTTGGGTTTTTCAGTTAAGCGTTTTTTTTTTTGTGCAATTGTCAAGTATCAAACCAAATTAAATATTTTAATAAAAATTTTTGCGTAGCAATCTCTTTGGCAACTGCCTAAATGCCAATAATGTAATTAGTAATTATAATTTTATATCTTGAAAAAAAAAACACTTAAAAAAAAAATCAGTTTTAAAATCTGAGCTGAATTATTTAAAACAACTTGAACTTATGAAAACTATTGTTAAAACTTTGGTTTTTAACAATGTTACATAAAAACTCATGATATATATTTTTAGAGGTTACCATGGTATTGGATTTTTAGCATTTAATAAATAGTTAATATGTTTGTTATTGGAGTTAATATATTGTTTATCTCACCAAAATCATGTTATAATTGTATATAATTGTATATAAATAAATTGATATTCATTGATATATAAATTAGATTTTAAAATACTTTAGTAGCAATAAATGTACTTTTAAGTATTGATACAATTTTTTTTTGTATTTGTACTTTATTGTGCACAATAATAAAAATAATATATAAATATATTGTTTGTATTTTTATTTATTATCATAAAAATACAATGTACATATGATACATGTATCATATACACATTGTATTTTTATGATAATAAATAAAAATACAAACAATATATTTATATATTATTTTTAACATTATATGCAGAGAATACATTTTTTCAAGTTTTGTTATTGTTTTACATTTTTTACTATGTAACCTGTTTTAAAAAACTCTAAATAAAATAAGGTAAAGGCATCTGATATATTTCTTATTCTTCTGAAGAATTTATGAATCAATAAAGGTAAGCATTTACCGCCTCCGGATTTTTTTCCGGATTTGCTTATTCTGCACCACAGAATTAGCATTGCAGAATAGTTAACTTAATATATTATTTCTTAACAAAAATAAAACTGTAGGTGGGGAGATTTCAAACCTGCACTCACTGTTCTTCACTGCAAACTGATAAAAACCTTTATACTCGATATAAAAAAATTTAAATATTTAAAATTTTTTACATTCTAATGCGTATTTTCCCGAGATGTAAGATTTTGATTAAAAAGTACCGATAAGTCTTGTCTTATCGTTTAGGTGGAGGTATCGTGGTGGAGGTATCGTTTAGGTGGAAATATAGTTATACAATAACAATATACATTAACATTGTATACTATCTATTTATTTTAAGTAACATAACATTATTACGGCAATAATCGGCAATTATATTTATAGTGCATTATGGTACTAAAAGTAAAGCAAAATGCTTTTTAAAATAATTTATGTTAAATATTAATTTTAAGTATTATTAAATATTAATTTGAAATAAATGCTAATGTGTATACGTATTTTGTGTAGCGGTTAAGTAATAAACATCTCCTCAGAGTCGCGTCTATTTATTATTGGCGTTTTTAAAAGGATCAACACTAATAACAAATTTATCGCATCAGATAAACGTCATCGCCGTCAGAAAACGTCATCGCCGCTTATGCTTTACCCCGCGACTTACGCCTATTCCATACTACAGTAAAAAACGATTATTTACAAGTACCCAAAAGCCAAAAACACCAAAATAAGTGAAAACGTAAGATATTTTTTCATGAAATGATATTGAAAGTGTAAATCTTCTGTATAAAATAATTGATGTATAATATAAATAAAAATAACTTAATCAACTCTTCTATACTATATCTTCTATACTAAAACATTAAATAATAATTCCCATAGAAACATTAAATAATAATTCCAATAGAAACACCAAAACTAAATTAAAACAACTCAAGTAAGTATTCAAACAAAAAAATGAAAAAATTCTATTTAAGACAATTAAAACCAAATAGGTAATTTTAGCATATTTTTCCAACTTGAGCTTTTTAAATATTTTTTTACGGAATTAGGTTAGTAGTTACTAATTAAAAAGAGATTATTCAAAGTTTTTTCAATCTTTTTATTTTAAAAAGGGAAATTTTAGGGTTAAACAAAAAATTGTTTTTGATAAATTTTTAAATTGTTTTTGTTAAAAATAAAACTTTTGCATTACATATACTATCAACTTAATGATGTATTAAGTTAACTAAAAAATAGTTTTTTCTAGTTTATTTTATTCCGCTAAGATTAATGGATTGAAACATGTTACTACGGGGTAACTAGTATTTTAATTGATATAAATTTTATGCAACAATTTGATTTTTTACAAGTAAAAAATATTCTGGCTACCTCTACAGTAAGATACTTCAATTATTTTCACGAGTATGAACTGAATAGAGAACCAACATAGGTTATTCCCTCAAAAAAAATTTTATTTATAGTATAAAAAAAACAAAATGATTTAACAAACAAACATGCTTTAAAAAGAAAGTTAAATAAAAATTTAAAAACTAATTTAATGACAATAAATAATTTTGCCATTAAATTTGTTTTTAGCTCACGTTGTTTTTATTTGCTTAATAAATTATTTTACAACACTTTTTGCAAAAAATGTACAGTTCTTATTAAGTTTTCAAATGCGAGCGAAAAAGGCTAGAGTTTCGTATTTATTTATTGACAGAGGATATAGCAATTTTTAATATAGAGTTATTGACTTGGAGTACAGCAATTAACATGCTTAGTTTGTTTTCTCATTAAATTTTTTCTGTTCATACAATCATACATTTGTTCATACATATTCATACATTTTAATGATTTACGATTGATTAAAATGGAATACAAGAGTTGTCATTTCTGTTTTATTGTACTATTTAGTTGTATAGTAAATACATTAGAGTTCTATCATATGTACAATACAATTAGCCTCCTCGTCTGTAGTGGCCTTCTCGGCCTTGAGGAGGTGAATGACAAAAAAAAACAACAACAAAAAAAAATTGTTTTTATGCGGTTTTTTAAAATGCATTAAAACCGCATTAAAACAACTGTATGTACAATGCAGTTGCTTTAATGCGGTTTCTTAAAATGTCAATAAATGTATGCGAAAGCCTTTCCAATTATGCTTTGCAACATTTTTTTATTAACTGGTTTTACCTTTGTATTTTAACATATATTATAAAAGAAAATTTTGCCGAAGAAAATATGTCCTGAAAGTGTGATGGAGTTTCGATTACCGCATTATTGCACAATAATGCGGCAACAGTTGTTTGATGTTGTGTGTATGATGATAATGGTGTGTATGAGTGTGTGTGTGTTTTTTATTAAAAAAAGTTTTTATCGTGTTCACTTAAGAGAACACGTACCTTACTCCTAACCAAGAAATTTTAGTATTTACCTTTGATATTTAACACCCTTTACTTAGATTATCCGATTATAGCCGTTCTCCATTGGCAGATCTTCTATTGGAGAACTTTAATTGCGTCTCTTCTAATGTAAACCGGCTATCGTTGAATAATCTATGTAAATGATGTTTTAAGTCAAATGCAAATACTGACAGTTCATGGTGATGGCGGCAAAAACTTACAGTGTGCGAATACTGATCATTTCAATAAAAAATGTTTCAATAAAATACAAAACAGTTGAATAATAGTTGCGAAACACAGTAATGTGTTTCGCAATTTTTTATACCAGTAAATTTATATCAATCACAAGCGGAACTTTATAGCGGAAAAAAACGTATCAATTATAGAAGTATGTATCACTATTTTTATTTAAAATATTTACCGCAATGCTTTATCAAAAAAATGATTCATTTTTTTCTTTTTAAGTATATTACCTCGAAAACACTGAAAATAAAATATTTATTAGAATTCATTGCAATAGTTTCTATTCGCATTGAGTTCTTGGAATGTTTTGAAAGGGATTAAACGATTAAATGAGTACCAAAGCAAAAAAAAAAAAAAAAATACTTACAGTTGGTAAAATCATTTGTTTATTAGAGGGAGAAGTTTCAAAACTTGTATGGATTTTGAAATAACTTAAACTGATTGTAAATTACAGTGCAATTAAAAGTTTTGGAGACCGTTGTTGTAAAAAAAATTGTAAATTATTTATGAATATCGTAGACTGTTACATAAACGTAACTGTTTTTGACATCAGAACAATTTCTAATTATCGTACCCCATTAATTTTTTATTTGTTAACAAATTGTTTTTTCAAAAGAAATTTGAAGACTGAAGAATATATGTGCTAGGAGAACGAAAAGAAATATACTAAGCTGCTGGTTGTACATTTTTAGGTGAAGTTAAAAAAACAAACAAACTATCTTTTGATTTAATTGAATTAATTTTTCCGGAAACCTTTCCCCGGATTGTGGCAAAACTGTGTTTAGCTGCTTATCATATTGTATCAATATTTTCACTTTAAAGGATTTTAACCGTTATTAGAATGTATGGGATTCTAATACGCTTTGCATTGTTTATCTGCATACTCCACTCAACAGCTGCAAATGATGTTGCTCATGGTAAAATTAAAAAAAAAATGTTTTTATTTAAATTATAAACTTTTTAACATTATTGTAGAAACTGTTTATAAAGTTATTTTTTCACTGTTATTATCTATATATACAAGTATACATTTATATATACATATATACATATATAAATTTATATACGCATATATACATTTATATATATATGCATTTAAATTTATATATATATATATATATATATATATATATATATATATATATATATATATATATATATATATATATATATATATATATATATATATATATCCCCTTCGTACACCATGTGTACAAACGTACACAATTCATTTTGTTCATTTTTCACTATAAAACTTAAGCAAAACAATAATTGAAACTCGATGTGTACATTTGTGCACACCAGTCCTATTGTATATTTTAATAAAATTAATATATTAATGAAATTTTACATATCCCATAAGGAGGTCTAATACATTTGTTTTATCAAAAAAAAGAAAAAAAAAAATTTAAACACATTCTATGTGCCCGTGTATGAAGGGGATATATCCTTTTTTTAATAATTTTTTCAGCTATAATGAGTATTTTTTATTTATTTAGGTGTTGGCTCTTTTTTATTCGATGGTATTTTCTCAGTTAGTGATGAATCGACAAAAAGAATTAACTATCATTCAGGATTTTTAATGGCAGAAGCAATGAAATTTGCAGTAGAAAAGGTAAATGTTTTTATCAAAATAAAACTTTTTTTCAGAGGCTGTTAGAGAAGCTCTCTTATAGAGACTATTGTAAACATACATTAATAAAATCAAAAATACTATCAGAAAAAATCTTAAAAGAGCAGACTATAAAGGATACTGGCCTACTGCAAATAAGACGAAAAAAAAAAGAATATAAAGAAGTATATACTTTAAGATTTTTTCTAAAGATATGTAAATGTATCAAAACTCTAAGGAAACAACGCTCTAAAATAAAAATGCTTTTAAAAATTTCCATTCTAAATTTTCATTCTCTTAGACTTAAGATGCTTTAATATACGCGAGTTGCACAATGTACGCGAGTTGCACAATGTACGCGAGTTGCGTGCTTGAGATGACTTACACGAATAATTGATTTGATTGGTATTAGTTTTATGAATAAAATTTTATTTCCTAATAAAAGTAAACAAGAAAAAAAAAATTGTTTTATACTCATATACTCAATTTTTTAAAAAGCTATAAAAAAATAATGACAATTTAAAATTGTTATTATTTATTGATGGGCATAAATGAACAAGTGACAATATCACGTGATTAAAAAAAAGAAAGGATTTAGCGTTTATATCTTTTTTTTTTTAAAATAAACATTAAAATAACAAAAAAATGATTATTTCAGCAACGCGTTTCTGCTTTTTTAAAAAATATATATATAGCTGTTCAAAACCGTTTTAATATTTCCAACAACGTTATTTTATATGCAACAACGTTATTTTATTGACAATTAAAAAAAAAAAAAATTACAAAAATTAAACAAAAAACAAACTAAAAACCATGGTCTTTACTCTAATGTGTTTTCTGTTTATTATGTCATTAACTTTACTTATTCTCTACTTTCAGTGTTCTCTACTTTCTGTGTTCTCTACTTCCTATGTTTTTCATTTCCTGTGTTCTCTATTTCCTGTGTTCACTACTTCCTGTGTACTCTACTTCTTGTATTCTCTATTACCTGTGTTTTCTCTACCTCCTGTGTTTTCTCTACTTCCTTTGTTTTTTTAATTGTCACTCTTTGGTTGTTCCCTACTTTTTATAACTATTACTTAAAAAAAAAAAAAAAAAACCTGCATTTAATTTTCGTCATATAAGTTTTGTAAAAAATAAACTTTTAAAATGAAATATTAATTTCAATTTTTCACTTCTACTTTAAATATGTGTTTTAGATTAACAACAACAGCGACCTGTATGGATACAAACTTGATATAAATGCAATCTACGACGTCTCATCAACTAACACTTTGCGAAATAGAATTCTTTCAACATTTCTTGAAAAAATTCCATTTATTATTGGTCCTTATTCTTCTCAAAGTACATTTATTGCTGGAATACTAACAACAACATTCGAACAACCAACCTTTAGTTACAGTGCAAGGTATACCGATTTTCCTTTAGTTGGAAATGAAAAAATTTTAAGAACTGTCCCATCAAATTCTTTTCAAATACAAGCTGTTCTTGATTTAATTAAAAAACTAAAATGGAATTATTTATCGGTAGTTAGCTCGTATGGTTACGATGGAGAAGCTGATGCCGAAAAATTTATTTTAAAATTAGGTGAAATAGGTGTGTGTTTAGCTCAGCGAGTTGACATTCCTAAGTATCCATCACAAATAACCTTTGATGAGGCGGTGGAAATCTTAGATATCCTTGAAACTAATAAAGATAAGTCAAGGCAAAACGGCTTGGTGTTTTTTACAAACAACAAAGATTCATATAATTTATTCTCGGCTATTAAGCGCAACAATAAAACAAAACGTTTTCTTATAATTTGCTTGTCAGGTTGTGCAAACTACAAAGAAAATACTGAAGGCAACGAAGAAGCAGTTGAAGGAACCCTCAGCTTAGATGTTGTCCAATTAGAAATACCAGAATTTAAAGAATTTGTTTACCGACAAAAACCAAACTCTTTATCGGCTGAGTACTTTAACAAAACATGGGAAAACATTTTTCGTTGTTCATTAAATCCGTCTGTTTTTCCCACTTGTTCAGGTAATGAAAAATTAGGTGATATAATATATCGATCATACATACCTGTTTACTTAGTTATGGATGCAATATTTGCTGTTGCAGATGCGCTGAAGTTTTTTATAAACTTTTTCTGTAGCCGCTCGCAAGATTGGATGTTACTGGAAAAACACTGCGTAGTTAATGCTGCTGACCGCAACGATTTTGCCTCAAAGATATTTGATATTCTCAAACTTATGTCATATACTGATGGAACTCTAGAAGATATATATACGCCTTACGTCCGTATAAACCGTTCCGTACAATATAATATATATCAATTTAGGTTAACATCAGACGGACAATACGAAAACATCTTAGTTGGTAACTGGCAAATTAAAAGACCCTTTCTTAATGAGTCTGTTGAAGAAACATTTTTATACCAAAAGCAAGATTTTTGGTTGGACCATTACAATGAAACTAACTCGAACCATTCAGAATTACTACCTGTTGCTAAATGCAGTGATGAATGTTTGCCTGGTTATATAGCAGTAAATCACAAAGATCTTCAAAAAGCTAAATGTTGTTGGAACTGTATCAAGTGTCCTAAAAACAGTATATCAGTTAATAATAACTGCTATGCTTGTAAAAAAACAGAAATGTTAGTTAATAATGAATGCGTAAATATTCCTGAAGTAAAAAGTATTTTTTCGGATGCAGGTCGAACCTTAGGGTGTTTTTCAATATTAATGGTTATCGGGCTGCTATTAGTATTTTTTGTTACAATAATGTTTATTCGCCACAATAACACCCGCGTTGTGCGGTGTTCAGGAAGAGATCTATGCTACATGATTCTTCTTGGATTGACAATGCTTTTTGTATCTCCCATGGCTTTTATGTCTCGACCCTCAACAACTGTTTGCATAATGAGAGGTGCTTTTCCTGGAATATCTTTCCTGATGTGTTATGCACCCCTTTTTTTGAGGGCAGCTCGTATTCACCGAATATTTATTCGTGCGAGGATGACCATTTCAAGACCAGCACTGATAAGTCCACAGTCTCAGGTTTTTGTGGTCTTAGGTATTGTTGGTGTGCAAGCGCTTCTTGCATCGGTATGGTTTACTTCAAAAACACCAGGACCAGACTTTGTTGTTTCTTCAGGCGGAGATTCCATCACTGTCCAATGTACCGGAGATGAAAGTGCAGTTGCAATGTTTGTAAATCTTGCTTTAAGCGCTTTTTTTGTTCTTTTATGCACCATTTTAGCGTTTAAGACGCGATTGTTTCCTAAAAACTACAATGAAGCAAAATTTATTGGAGTAACATTATATATTACGTGTGTTATATGGTCTGTTTTTCTTCCTGCTTATTATTTAACTGCTGGAAAAGGTGTTTACATAAGAGAGTGTTTAATTTCAATTTTATGCATATCAATTGGTTATGTTACACTTTTTGGATTATTTGGTCAAAAAGTACGTCTTCTTATATGGCCTGATAACGCTGCTAATTGTGAGAGAGAGATGGTTTCTTTTAGCAAAATATCTGGTACTATTTTAGAAAAAAGTGTTGAAAAAAATTTAATAAGTGGTGTATAGATTTAATTATGTTAAAAACCAAAATTTTAAAATTATACAAACATATATATATATATATATATATATATATATATATATATATATATATATATATATATATATATATATATATATATATATATATATATATATATATATATATATATATATAACATTACAACTTTTGATAAAATGTTATTTTAAGTTAAAAACTTACTATTTTAAGTTAAAAACTTAAAATTTTGTAAATAAAATAGCTTAATTTTTAATTTAATTTAAATAATATAAAACAATTGTCTTTTAATATATGCATTCAAACTTATTTACTTATTGCATGCATTAGAGTTATTTAGTATATTTTCCTTTTTTTTAATTAATTTATACGGTTATTTCAAGGAATTTTATTTATTTTATATTTCAAAAATTGAATTTTGTACAAAATAAAAAACTTTAATTTTCTTTAATATTATAATTAGATTTAATAAAATACAAATATCGTTTTGAGGAGTTTTTTTCTAAAAGGAGAGTTGATATTTCTAAAAGAAATTGACTTGTATCTTTGTATCTTTTTCAAAAAACAAAGGTACATATCTAACTATGTTAGTATGAATGAAAAAATATTTATGATAACAAAATTGAGATCCAAAAAATACTTCGCCTGATAACTTCTTTTTTTTATTTTTCTTAAAACATCCAAAAAATGTGACTTAATTTCATTTAGAAAAACGCTCTTCAATTTAGTCAATGTTGTTGGCCAAATAATTATAATAAATATAAGATAGTGAGTGGTATATTATATTAGCAAATAGAAATATAATCATTAAAAAAAATTAGATTAATATATTAAATTTCTAATTACTAAATTTTAGTAATACATGTTGCTTACTTTGTTTTTTTAATCTTAAAACAGTTGACTGTTTTAAGATTTAACTGATAGACTAGTCGATAAGTTTAATTTTAATATAAAGTTTTATAAAAATTTTTTCGGTTTTTGATTTTACATACCAAATTTTCTAATACCTTTGTAAATACATTTTATTAGCAAACGAATTTCTGCTTTTGAGGGTTTAAAAATAGTTTTTTGATAAGTGTAGCAAAAACATACATGTTATATGTATGTTTTTACATAAACATATATGTTATATCTATATACAGCAAAAACAAGCGGTACACAAACCTCAACAAAAAAAATTTATATTCAAAACCATTTAATGAAATATTCTTGTGGTATTTTATTTTACTATTTTTAAAAATGTTTCAGCGCGATTCTGAACAATGTCTTTTAAAACCAAAATAATCAATAGCTGTTGTGTAATAAAATAATTTATTTTAAACTTTTATGTTTAGTTGCAGCAAATAGTTTTAAAACATTTTTTTGTATAACAGTGACGAGCATTTATGATACGTCAATAAAGTTTGTTTCACGTCTGAAAGTTAACTACATCTTACACAACAAAAGCTACAGCAATTTCTGCAATAATAGACATTGCCCTATCGGCACATCTAGTTTCTTTTTCGGAAATAAAACCTATATAGGCACGTGTTTTTCACGATCCAGGCGTAAACCAAAAGCACGTGTATATTACGGGCAGTTTTACTAGAGTTTAACACGTGATTTTTGAGGTTTTAAAGTCAAATTTAAATGTCGCATATTTTTATCAGTGGTTTCACATTCCTTACGGAAAGTTATTAAAATATAATACTACGTTTCCTTAAAGGTGAAATCATTAATACTTTAACTGGTATTTATGGTAAATAGTAATAGTTAATTTCACGGAATAAAAACCATTTAGGATACGTGTTATTCTTTTTGTTTTAGAAGGTTTTAAAAACGCAACAGAAACCAAGCGTAACTGTTTTCTGAGTTGTGCCGGCTGGGTGTTGTTGTTGTTGTTATTGTTGTTGTTGTTGTTGTTGTTGTTGTTGTTGTTGTTGTTGTTGTTGTTGTTGTTGTTGTTGTTGTTGTTGTTGTTGTTGTTGTTGTTGTTATATTTCTAATGTTGTTTTATTATTTGTCTGTTAATCTAATCACAAAAGCTGTCAAGCGCTTGATTAGAGCTATTTATAGCTATTTTATTAAACTTTATTCTTGAACTATAGTATTTAATTTGACGAAAAGTAAAAGATAATTATTATAATATATTATAAATATAATATATTATAAACTTTCAACAACAACATCGTCAAGAAGATATTCATTCTCCTGCACAAAATGCTTTATCGTAAATTCTTTTCTAACTTGTTGAATCCTCCAAAAAACATTTTAAAAACAATCATTTAATCAAAGTACATATTACAGACCTGAAGCAACAACCATGGACCTGAAAGTAACAACCATGGACCTGAAAGTAACAACCATGGACCTGAAAGTAACAACCATGGACCTGAAAGTAACAACCATGGACCTCAATCTTAGTATATCTACATACTAAGTTAATAATTCTAAATTGAATTTTCTTTATTTTTGTGGTTTTATTTGTAATCGTTTATGACAATTTTTTTTTAACTAGATTAAAAGGTAGGATACTCCATTTTCAATGATATTTTGCTTTAAAATTTTATTTTTAAAAGATTTTATTTTAATCAAAATCAAAGATATTCATTATATCACTAATGATTTGTTGGTTAATTTTTGTCGTTGATGTAGATAAAACCTACTAAGTTAAATGACAATTGATTAAAATAATTAAATGGTACAACTTTTTCTATAAAACAAATGATGGAGATAAAAATACATGATGTAGGTAAAAGTGTTTAGAGTGCTTCAATTATTGTAAATACATTAATAATTATTTTTTCAATATATATTTTTTCGGATGAGTTGAAAAGTCTATTGGTGGCATAATTGAGGCAACGTGGTTTGATGGAAATGATTATGTTGATTGGTGGTGTAGTGTGGGTATTAGTTGTGGCTATGTTGCAACGTTTATTATAAATGACTTTTTTTAGTTAACCTAGAACGATTATTCAGATTAATATAGGGGAGAGGGGGGCACGTTGATACACTTTTTACATTTTATGACATTAAAAGCTAAATATTATATTTAGAGTGGAAATAATAACTTGCATATGTTCCACTAAGTGCATATTTTAGTACCACAATTTTATTGATTAGAACATAATTAAAATAAATACAGTACAAAAAGCAAGGTAAAGATTTGTGTATCAACCTGCCCCATGCTGGGGCAATTTGATACACACCATGGGGCAAGTTGATACATTTAATAAGACTTGAAAATGAAGCTTTAAAAAACTAGTTAAGTAATCAAACACAAAAGATTTGGTAAACAAACACAAAAGATTAAGTAAACAAATAACACAAAAAACATTTATTTTATTAGGCTTATTTACTATCTCTGCGAGAAAAAAAAAAAACATTGATCTGCACCAAACAATTTAATTGCATTAATGCAAATACATAAACAAAAAAATATTTTCAGCCATATTCAAATGCTTTACCAAAGAGGTAAGAGTATTAATTTGCACCAAGTGGTCTGCATCAACGTGCCCCCTTAGACCACGTTGCATTGAATTCGAGTTAATTTTAACAGAAACAATAAACAATTAAATGACATATGCAAAATCATTTAGCAATGTTTTCTTAGACTTATGGAAGGGCCGATGAGCCGAATGTACCTTTTTGAAAATGAAACATGTTGTCAACTTTTTTCAAAAGTTGCTCGATTTACAAAATGCTTACCAGCTTGATCAACTTTGAAATGAGCGGAAATCTTTTTACATCGGACGTTAGGGAACTAAAAAGCTATTTCCCGTACCAAATCTTATTTGCACAATTAGTGTAATTGCTGTTTTATTAGCTTTGTATCAATTTGCCCCCGTATCAACTTGCCCTCCCTCGTCCTCTACTACAACACAAGAGACGGATTTTAGTAAAAACATATGAAAGCTATACTCACAAAGTTACTAGTTGAAATTTAAAATATTATTATTGTAATAAGACTATCATTGTATTAATATTTATATATTTATATTGTAGCTAGAAATATCAGTAATCCCATATAAAGTATCAGGATATGTACGTATACAGGAACAGCTACGTAACAAAAATGTAGACTTTTTGTAACTTGTAAAAAAAAAAAAAAGTTTACCCGTTGTAGTTGTAACTATCATGTGTGTATGTATACATGTATGTATACACAGGCATTCATACACACACATTTGCATTCATTTATAAATAAATACTACACATAAAAAGATATACGCACTATATATATAAATATTATATACAATATATATATATATATATATATATCAATATATATATATATATATATATATATATATATATATATATATATATATATATATATATATATATATATATATATATATATTTATATATATATATATATATATATATATATATATATATATATATATATATATATATATATATATTTCACACGTTTTAAGTGTTAAATAAATGTTAGAGTGAATCACAGACATACAACACAATAGCGTCACTAAGAGGTGCGGGTGGCGCTGTTCGTACCGGGTGACACCATCACAACCTAACACCAAAATGGGATGACACCAAAATAAAAAAAATGCAAAAATCATAGAACTGCTCATGCTCCATTTGGACAAATAAAAAAAAGGTTTTTGTTTAGAATGAGTTCTTCATGCTGTTCAGCAAGCTGATTGTAAACTGTTTAGAATAAGTTCTTCATGCTGTTCAGCAAGCTGATTGTAAACTGTTTAGAATGAGTTCTTCATGCTGTTCAGCAAGCTGATTGTAAACTGTTTAGAAAAATTGAACAACAGGAATCTTGATCAGATTTTTAACTTATACACAGTCGCAAGAGTTTGACGATAACAATCTTATTGCCCCTTTTTGCCGTATAAAAAAAGACCAGTTTTTTGTTTCTTATCGAGGTCCTTATCTCTGGAGCAATATAGTCTTACCAAATTTTGATTTTTCTACTCAATTGACTTTTGCTTTATTCAAACAAAAACTTAAAAAAATTATATTCTTAATGGAAAATATCTTGATTTATTTTTAATTTTTTTTTTTTGTTGTTGTTCTATTTTGTATATTAT